CTGTGCCCGAAAACCAAGGTGCTGGGATGGGCGAGAAGGCAGCGAGCCTGCGAGGGGCTCGCCGCCCTCCAGCCCTCGCGCCGGAGAAACTAGAAACCCACAGACAGAGAGTTTACATGTATATATATATATATATATAAAAAAAATAGATGTGTGTAGCTGTAGCGTTGATACTGATGGTTAAAAAACAGATACCAGGCTGGTCCTGCACGATCCACGCGCAGCCCTACGTTCTGCTGAGAGATGCCCAGTCCGGCAGGTACGTCTGTGGGGCGGGTGCTGCCCCCGGGCTGCTGCAGCGCTGGTCACATTGCAGACTTCATCTCCCACTCCTGGAGAGCGGCCGAGATGGGTGGTCACCCCCCTGCGTCCCAGCGCCACGTGTGGTACCCGGCTCACCTTAACTCTGCCCACCCCACGCAGCTCCCGGCTGGTACCTTTCTCTTCTGCAGCACTTTTCCCTTCTCGACGATGACCGGGGAGGGGGATGGCTTCAGGGCGCTCTTCGCCGACGCGGTGCGCTTCAACAGCGGCGTGAGGAATGAGCCCTGCTGGAAAAACGCAGCGGAGAGAGCGTGAGGCCTGTCCTCCCGAACCCTTCACACTCCCTGCAGCCTGTGCCCTCCCCGCTGCCTCTCCCCGGTGCCCCCCCACCTCGGAGCCAGCCGAGCTGGTGGTGGCGGCGATGTGGCCCTTCAGCGACTTGCCGATGGCCAGCAGGTTCATCTCGGAGCCGGCTTTCAGCCTGCCCTTCATGCGGCAGGCCCTCTCCAGCTGCCCCACCTTCTCCTCCAGCTTGGGGAAGGCTCTCTTCCCTGCAAGGACAGCAGGGGCACTGCCAAGCCCAGGCACCCCTCGACCCCGCCGGCTGCTCAGGCAAGGGCCAGGCACCCCCCGGCACAGGGGCAGAGCCCCTCTGCGGTCCTACCGATGAGGATATCCAGCCCGTCCCGAGCCCCTTTCCTCTCGGGCAGCGTCAGGGTGCGCTGGGACCGGGAGAGATCCCTGCTCCGGAGCTCGGGGCTCACCTTCGCCCGCTGCGGGCTGGCAGCCCTGCCCCGGAGAGCTGGGGAGGAAGGGCAGAGGAAGGATGCTTGGGAGGAAGGGCAGAGGAATCACGGCACATCACCGTGCTCGTGGGCACCGCAGCCTCCATCCCAGCACGTGGGGCTGGGGTACATGGGGGAACCCTGCTGCTCCCCTGGATGGAGCATCCAGCCCCTGCTCACCTGCCTGCGAGGGCAGGGCGCTGCCTGGAATGTTGCTGCAGGCACCGGTGGGCAGCGCAGACACTGGTCTCTTGCACTGCCCTTGCACTGCTCGGTCCAAGCTCTGCTGCTGCGGAAGGAAGCCCGGGAGAAGCCCATGGGCCAGTGGACGGTGGGAGCCTGTCCCCCTCACCCTGGGCCTCGCACGGGGGTGCCAAGGTGCATCAGCGGAGGTTACCAGCTGCTGCAGCCGCTCCACGTTGGAGTAGAGGTGCTTGGGGGTCTCGGCTGGCGGGAGCTGCCTGAAGGGGTCGTCCATGTAGGCGTTGGGGTTCGGGACACGGCGTAGCAGCAGCCCGCTGCAAGCAGGAGGGGGGTCCCATTACTGCCCGCGGCCCTGCAGCAGAGCGGGAGGGCTGGGGCCAGCTGTGCCCTGGCCAGTGTCTCCTTACCCTGCAGCAGGGCAGCTGCTGGCATCGCCCAGCCTGGAGGTCTCGGTGCAGGGGCTGTTGCCGGCCGGCTCCCCT